AATCTAGTGTGGTCTGAAGCTGTCCACCAGGTGTACTGGCTCTAGGGCCTCTTGGGAGGTGCAAAGTCAGCCACTACCTGTGCTCTGCCTGGGGCCACCTGGCATGAGCTACAGAGCACTCTACAGATGACTGCAACCTATGTTGGGCTTAGAGATGCCCGAGAGTCCAAGCTGTAAATCTTGGCAAGCTGCTGCTAGTGCCAGGCTGGGGGCCACTTATAGAGAGATAGGAGACACATGCGTCTAGCTGCTGCTTGTTTGAGAGATTTTAGGAAAGTCTGAAGCCTGAGCCAGAACAGGCCATTCATATGTAAAAGACACTGCAAACAACTTGGGTAAAGCTGAAAATTGGGGGGATGGGATCTTAGGGAATCACTAGGGTGGGAAGAACTGTGTCGGCCAGGTTGATGGGGACTCAGTCATCTCTGTAGTGGGGAAGTCCCAGCCTTTTTGCCTAGGAGAAAGTTGCTCCAAAGTCCTTGCCCTGATACAAGAAAATTTAGTTCCTTCCCACATGTCCCTGGATTCTTTCAAGCTGCTGACACAGTGCTGGAGCCCAGAAGGAGTGAGTCCAAGTAGGTCCATATGCTGGATATTTAAGAAAAATTTCCTGGGATTCCAGTAGTCTCTGTGTCACTCGGCCACAATCACCACTGGTTTTTATAGCTCAAAGTTACGGGAATTTCTCTTCCTGGCTCAGAAACAGTGGGTTGAGGGGTCTGGTGTGGGGCTGGGACCCTTTCCTCCTCCCTGGAGGCCTCCTTAACTAAGATATCCCTCCTGATTAAAAACACACCACAAGTGGGTGTCAGACCAGCCATTCCACACCTCCACCCTTCCTTCCAGTCTCAATGTGCTTCTTTACTTCTCTAGTTTCAGGATTTCCATTTTGGCAGTTCTGCATGATAGTTGTTTTGTATTTTACTTGTAATTTTGATGTGGTCGTGGGAGAATCCGAGTACCAGCATTAACCTATGCTGACATCTTGGTTCCCTCACTGAGGATATGTTTATTATTGATTTTAGAGAGAAAGGGAGAGAGAAAAGGAGAGAAACATCAATGTGAGAGAGAAACATCTATCAGTTGCCTCCAGTATTTGCCCCAACCAGGGACTGAACTCACAACCTACCAAGGTATGTGCCTTGACCAGGAATCAAACCCTAAACCTTTGGTGTACAGAACGATGCTCTAACCAACTGAGCAACACGGCCAGGGCAAAATAGGTATAATTTTTATTCATTCACATGATGGCTATTGTCATTTTTTTTGACAATCTAAGGGAAAAGAAGTCAGTGCCCTGACTAAATAGTCAGGTATTGCATGTTTTAAAAATCCTTGCAGCACACCAGTGTGCTGGAGAAAATGGTTGTAAGTGCTTCTCTGTGATTCTTTTTTGTTACACTATAGCTACCTTTAGTGTAAAGTGAATACAGTATAGCTACCTTTAGATCAATGACAGAGTGAGTATAGATAACTGAAGTGCACAGACTATTCTAAATCCTTCTTTATTGTAAACTTGAGTTGAAGGCACTTCTGCTATCAAGTCTTTTACCAAGGCTTCTAACAAGAAGGAGTTTTATAAATTTGAATTTCATCTACTGACCATACCCACTTTCTCTAGTGGGAGGTTGTGAGCAGAGAAATTGCTAAATGATACCAGAGCAGAGAACACAGAAAACATCACAGTTTCTGAAAGTTCAACAAATTCTTTGATTTCAGTCACTGAACATTGAGAGGTAAATGAGTACATGTTGCTTGAGACTGAAATGACTTTTCTTTATTGTTTTGTACTGGGTGATGACAGTTACTTTTCCTTAGCAATCACCACATTTCTTTTATGTTCTTGGAATCCTGGATTTGGAAACAACATCAGAAGTTCATTATGTTTCATTTCCCACTTTCCTACAGAATTATAACTAAACTGTCCAAGCTGGATGGTTGTCTATTCTGTTCTTTGTTTGGAGGATGATCATTGGTACATGTTGGAAAGCAGTTGGCTGACAACCTACTTATTCGAGTTATAGTCTTGATAATACAGGGTCGGGCAAAAGTAGGCTTACAATTATTTGTATGGAAAATAATCCTATATAATAAAAGGCTAATATGCAAATAGACCGAATGGTGGAATGACCAGTTGCTATGATGTGCACTGACCACCAGGGGGTAGATGCTCAATGCAAGAGCTGAACCATGGTGGTCAGTGCACTCCCACAGCGGGGAGCACCTCTCAGCCAGAAGCTGGGCTCATGGCTGGCGAGCGCAGTGGTGGTGGCGGGAGCCTCTCCCACCTCCACAGCTGTGCTAAGGATATCCGTCTGCTGGTTTAGGCAGTTGGACATCCTCCGAGGGCTCCCAGACTGCGACTCTTACATGAATTTTATGCATCAGGCCTCAGTAATAATAATTCAACAATAAGCTCTGTTTTGTGTACTCACAACTAAAAATCTACTTTTTTGTTATTGGTAATCCTCACCCGAGGATATTTTTCCACTGATTTTTAGAGAGAGTGGAAAGGACTCTCTCTAACATCGATGTGAGAGAGAAACATTGATCTGAAACACATCAATTGGTTGCCACCCACATACTCTCTGACCAGGACTAGGGGTCGAGCTGGCAAATGAGGTACGTGCCCTTGACAAGAATTGAACCTGGGACAGTTTAGTCTATTGGCCAACATTCTATCCACTTAGCCAAACTGGCTAGGGCTGTAAATCTACTTTTGATCCACCCTGTATTATTTGCTCTCTTAGCAGTAGCATAGAACATATACACATATATGAATGTAATCTGCTTAGCAATCTGATGTTCTAAAATGCAAGTGATGAGAATACATAGAAAGAAAGGACAATTTCCTTTTGAAAACAATACTTTTCATCTATCAGAAATTTGTCATCAAATGTTTGGCACAGAGTAGGCCCATTATAAATGTTTGCATTAGTAAAAACAACACAAAAAAACAAACAGCTAGAGAAATAATGCTGCCTACGAGGAGAGTGGGTAGCTGTTCTTTGCTTTGTGTATTCACAGAGTTCTTTTCACCTATGGTTGCTGTATGAGAAAAGAGTTCTGGAATCAAATAATTTTGGAAAATACTGAATCTTTCTATCTCCTTTTTGGAGTTGTGATATACATTAGCACATTGTTTTCAGAAGTCACCTGTCTATATCTGATAAACTCAGTATTTCCCAAGTCTATTTGCACAGAAACTATTAACAACACACACTTTAGGAAATATGCTCTTTAGGGTTAATTGTTCACAGTTTTTTGCCTGAGGGAATGACTATGTCTTTCTCATTTTCTATGTACATTCTATATGCTAACTAGTATATATAGGTACAATACAGATTTATGCAGATAGAATGAAAATGGCCTGTATGAGGTTGGATAAGATGACACCAACACTGACCAAGAAAGCTGGGTAGGGGAGCTGTGTCTTGAATGTAAAGATGAACAGGGTCATGACTGGAATCAGAATGAAAGAGAGTGGTAAAATAGACAGTAGGTTCTGAATGCAAAGAACATGTTTTTAACCTGAGCATAAGATTGGAGCTTCTGACACTGCTATTGAAGACCCTCAGTCCATCTTCCTTGATAATTACAATGTTCCTCTTACGTCACCTATGTTGTCAAGCCCTACAGACAGAGTAAGCACCGACGACCACGGTAGTACCTCATTCATACTTAATGCTTATTATCAAACTGTTATAGAAATTTCATTCTTAAAACTACAGCCAAGTGATTATTTGGAAATAAGAGATTAATTGTAAAAACTATCTGGAACCTACACATATTTGCATTTAAGGACTTTAAATAATGTTTTGTTCTCCCACCTTACTACTGTAAGTCTTATAGCTCCTGGATGTGTCAGGATAGTGTCACCAAGGTTTGATAAAGAGTGGAACCCCAGAGAGACCCTGCAAATGAAACTACAAACAAGGGAGGACCTAATAGTAAACACAAGCCTAAAATTCTAACACCCCAGGAAGGTTTGACTATGGTTCTCAGATATCCAAGGGAAATGCTATTAGAAAGTCTGTTTCCTACAGTCTGAATGTGTGCCTCTCATTGGCTGCTTTAGGATTTGCTCCAAATGGTGACAGGAAATTGAAATGAGATAGAAATCAGCAGTGTTTACAGTGCCTTGTGTTGGCATTATACACATTGTGAACAAAATAGTACATCGTATGTCCAAAGACAGAGATCAATATGCTTGAAATTATTCATTTTGACCACATTTACTTGAAAAATGGCATTTAGCTCTCAAAGTTATTGAAGAATTGTAGGTTGAATAACTATCAAAAGGTTGTTTAAAAACTTTCTTTTTACATGACTATGAGAAGTTGGATAACATGAGCATTTTAAATTTGAGCATATCTTGAGTAATGGGCATATAGTTATCTTCGTCTGCATATCTAAATCTCAGTAATAACTGTCTTTTTTCTATTATTTTTCTATTATTCTGAAGGTTTACATTTTTGTCTCAACTAGATGTAGAAGGGGTCTAAAGGATATAATTATATTCATGTTATGATACAGCTATTTTTCTTCTGTTGTCACCCCAGTGAACATCATGTACATATTATGGCATCAGTTACTAAAAAAACATATTTGTTGCTGAAATCATATGCTGACTTTTATTGCTATAAAGGAATATTATATTCAGAAGGAAAAAAGGGTGCTCCTTTTCCACATGTTGCTTCATTCTCTCTATTATAAAAATAAAGGGATATTACCTCTGAGCCTATTGATACATCAAGTAATAAATGTGACAGTTAATAGTTCTATTTTCCTTACCCCATCTTCCTGCACAACTGCAACATAAAACATGTTTCTTACTAGTAACAGATGCTGGAGACCTTCCTTTGAAATTCCTGTGGAGAAGCTGCCCTGTTGATTACATTAGACAGGAAGTGGTTTCATGCAGATGTTGACTTGCTGGTGCATTGTAGTAATTGCTGTTCTGCTGACCCCTTGCTGAGTGCAATGCTTTTCTCTTGTAGGTGATGTGCCTTCAGGACTTTTTTGGTGACGATGACATTTTTATTGCATGTGGACCAGAGAAGTTCCGTTACCAGGATGATTTCTTGCTAGATGAAAGTGGTAAGGAAAAAAAAAAGTTCAAAACCAGGGGAAATTTGAGGCAGCTTTCCAAAATGAGCTGCACCAGGCCAAGATCATGTCAACTCTAAAGCTACCAAATCAGTTTCAGATCCTCATTCAGTATGTCTTTTCCATATCTTGAATTTCTTTGATTTTTTTATATAGAAAACAGATGAAATGATAATTGGAAAGGTTACATAATTTAGAAGGGTCAATGATGAATGGCTAATTTATAACCACTTAATAACTAAAATGATGTTCTATAAAAATCATGGTGTGGATTTCTACATTTTAACTGTATATTTTCCTCAAAATTTATATTTGAGATATTTATAATCATAAAATTATTGAGTATGTTTCTAGGCTCATCTTTCAGGTGACTTCCTTTAGTTCCTAACTAAGAAAGTGACTTGGTGCCCCCCCCCCTTTTTAACATTTCAGAAATTTATGTCATCACCATCTGTGAGGGTTAAAAAAAAAAGAGTAGTGTGGCTTACTTCCATTAAAAATGAAATGTAAAAAAGGGACTGTTGATAAACAGGGAAAGACACATATTAGGAAATGAATATCAAAGGTTGTGACTCAAGAATGATGTTTTTTTTTAATATTATAAATCATCTCAGAACCTTAACAGCATCATGGAAAAAGTTATTAAAGAGGCCTTTCCATGATAATCTTACCTCTAATTTAATTAGGGAAATATTACATACTTATTGACAATTCAAATTCTAGCTAGTTGGAAATGATTTTTGAAGTGAATGAATGTTTTGCCTAGATAAATTCAATTAAACAAATTAGTAAGCTTTTAGCAAAATGGATGGGAAATACATGAGCACCAACATAATATGATGAGTGATGTAATATTTCTGCTCTAACACTGCTGATGTGTATTCACATAGAGTATCTATATTATATGCATATATACATATCAGTTACATGCATTTAAACATACTGTAATTATTTCATCATTTAAAAGTGATGTAGAATGTGTAGGGAGGGATAAGAATAAGAAAGGTTACCTCTTTATTGTGAAAATTTCAAATGCCCAATAAAAGTATATATAGATGTGTCCTTTGAAAGATTGAAGTTATTTTGGTTCAAATATTTTAGCTGGAAGAGTGGTTTGATACCTCTTTTCTTATAAATAAGTTTTCTTTGCTAAATATGTTCTGTCATCTCTAATAGGCATGCCCTTTGGGGGCAAAGATTTAGGGAGAGACCTCTACGCATCCCAACCCTTCTTCAGGCAGCTTTGCCATTGTGTGGAACAAATGAATGTTAGGGGTCAGGCAGAAGAGCTGACAGCATAGTTTTGAAAAAAAAATAAACTGTCTTGACTTTCAATTTAAAGAAAATAGATGCTTCTAATAGAATGGTCTGAAACCAGATGCATTCTGAAATGAAAGTTTCATTTGTTTCTTTGATATAGAAAACAACCTATCAGACTGGAACTGGAATACAGCTGTTTCACATCAGCAGAGTTGGCCTGGGGTTCCCAAGTCCCCAGTCTCTTTCTACCCCATGTTAGAATCCTTTCTCATTAAAAAGGATTCACACAGATCTCTCCCTATCTCTATTTGTGTATCTATGTCTGTCTGACTGTCTGTCTGTCTATTTATCTATCTATCCATCATCTATTCGTCTATCTATCTACCTATCTAAGTATTTATTTATCTCTCTATCGGCACAGCAGTGCACATCAGGACAACTTGCCCATAATTTGTGGATTGGCCCTTTGCAGGCCCACTTCAAACTGTTGGAGAGAGAAAGTGAGAACTTCACATCCTTTCTCCTGATAAATATACCCTATTTCTTGATGTGAAATATATTTGCTGAGTAACTGTGTTCTCCCCCATCCTAAAAGAAGCATGTGGATTGGGGACGGGGAGAGAATCTAAATTAAAATTTTATTTTCTTGGATTAACTTAACCCTGAAACTAAAATCACATGTTGACAACTGCAATTTTCCTGTTGCTTGTACGCCATGTTTTTAATGCTAATATATTAAAATTTGAATCTTCTAGAAAGTGCTCTGAGCATAATTTAGCCTACCTTCTATGTACTTGCTAAATGGCATTTGCACATTGAGGCTTCATTCGGCCTGTTCCGAGTAGCTTCCTGTACCACTGCTGATACTGACATCTTAAGAATTAATACTTACCCAGTACTGTGCTTGATTTAATGGTGCCAAGAAGTGGCCTTTTGCTGCAAGGCAGTACTTTTATTTTATCTTTCAAAATTAACCGGGCTCCCAGTGAGTTCAGGATTAGCAACAATACATCCCCCTAATTACTGCTGGAAAAGTTCCTGGAAGTGGCTCTTAAGGTCTAACCAGTGAGAAATTTACCATTAGATACTTGTATTTCATGGGGCTATACTAGAGCCAGAGCAATATTAGAAACTGTAAGGAGCCTCCTTCCTCCCCTAAGTTTTCACCTGGAAAAAAAACAAAACAAAAACAAAACAAAACAAAACAAAACAAAAAACAAACAACCCACAAAAACACCTTCCTGTTTCCAGCTCAAAATATAACTGTTTTAGCGATATCATCATCAATGAGTGGAGTCTCAGCACCTTCAAACATGGTGGATACAGTTCTATATAGAAAGACAGATAGGCCAACAGATCCTTCTCCAGCATGGCTTGCTATCTAATTTAGAATGATGAAATATCATCCAGGAAAATGCCAAATTGGAGACAAGAAGCTTAACCTGGTTTTGCCTATATATTGGTGATAAGTTGACAAATTTTTTATTTGTTGCCATTAAAAAGTGGTAAGATTTTGTTAAGAAATGCCTGCCTCACACCTGGGAGGGACAATTAACTCCTTGGTGATGAGTTTGTCACAGGATGTCAACTTTTGTCGACCCAACCCCCAGCCTCAACACTGATGTCCCCAAATTTGCTTGGCCAATTTCTTCACCCACTCACCTCAACCCTACCAGGCCTAAATATCTGTCATCCTCTTTTGTTTTAACTAATTTATTAGTGCTCTTGATTCTGATGTTAATAGGAATTGCTTTAAATATACATATTTTTGCTTAAATGTTTAAGTTTCCTAGGGCTGGTGTAACAAAGTTCCACAAACTGGGGGCTTAAAACAATAGAAATTGATTCTAGGACAATTCTGGAGGCCAAAAGTTAAAAATCAAAGTATGGGAAACACTATGCTCCCACAGGCTCTGGTTTCCGGTGGTTGCCAGCAATCCTTGGCATCCCTGGGTTTGTCCCAGCATCACTCTGATCTCTGCCTCCATTTTCATGTGGCCTCTCTCTGTGTACAAAATTGCTTATTCTTATAAGGACACCGGTTATTGAATTAGGGTCCACCCTAATCCAGCCTGACCTCATTATAACATGACGACATCTACAAAGACCCCATTTCTAAGTAAGGTCACATGTATAGGCCTCAACATAACTTTGGGAAAGACACAATTTATTCCACCACAAATGTTGTTTGAACTTGTCATAAGTAAACAAATTTCTATTTGTTTGCTTTGACCTGTCTTTAGATTTGCACAGCTATAGGTTTATATTCATTAGTAGAATACATAAACAACAGATCTGTGACAAGGTTGCCTCTCATCTGACCTTTTATAGGTAGTATCACCTGATGGATCAGAGGAATGAATGCTGTGGGCAGTCTGAGCCCCTTTGACTAAGATGAAAATATATGGTCTGAATGCTAGAGGTGGTTGCATTTTTAATTGAGCTGCCTTGTCCAAAAGGTACTGATTTCTAGGTCTGTCAAATGTGCTGGAGGAGACCTCTGTTAGAATTGGCTCTTAATGTCTCTGAAGGGAGAGGTTGTTTGATGAGAGTCATAACACTGGGTTCTGGTTTGGGTTCTGTATCATTCAGTATTGTTAGAAATGCCCACTCGAAAAGTTGATGGTGTGTGGATGAAGTCATATGGGAGGGAAGCTAATGTGGCAGAAGACAAGATGAGAATTCACAAGGATTTTTATAGGAGGTAGTTTCTAAGAAGATAAAACTGAATTGGTACAAACAAAAAGTAATGCTCTGGGGATTTTTATTTTTTAAAAAAGCCAGTTCTACAAGCTTGGTTAACATCAATGTAGTTTTAACAGTAGCACATATGAAAATTAACTCTAGTTCACTGCAGGCTTATTGTGGCTCATTTACTGTATGTAGTATAAGTATATCATCCTATATAATAAAAGGCTAATATGCAAATCGACTGAATGGCAGAATGACACACTGACTACCAGGGGACAGACGCTCAATGCAGAAACTGCCCCCTGGTGGTCAGTGCACTCCCACAGGGGGAGTACTGCTCAGCCAGAAACTGGGCTCATGGCCAGCAAGCACAGCAGCAGTGGTGTGCTTGCCAGCCAAGGCAGCGCTACAGATGTTCAAATGCCGGCTTAGGCCCACTCCCTGTGGGGACATCCCCTGAGGGCTCCTGGACTGCGAGAAGGTGCAGGCTGGGCTGAGGGACCCTCCCTCCCCCAGCCAGTGCATGAATTTCATGAATGTCAATAAAAATTCACAAAACTGGTATAGAAGTATAGAAGAAATTTAAATAATTGAACTCTCACATGATGTTTTTTTGTAAGTTTGTGACATTTATGCTTCTGAAATTATGAAAGTTTAAAACTGCTCTAAGACTTTTTGGCTACTCTATGTGTCCATGTGTGTGTGTTCACGTGTGTGTGTCCACGCGTGTGTGTGTGTGTGTGCATGTGTGTGTGCATAGTGTCTCTGCAGAATGCCAATCCAGTTTCTCTCTGCACCAGATAGACCCATCTGAGTACAGGTTCTTCCTGGGTATGTGATTCTAGAAGGAACATTTCCTCAGCTGCTCTTATGGACCCCCATGGAGTTGGATTCCCAGAATCTGCTTGGTAAATGTCTCTAGAAATGTTTCATTCTGACCACTTTCCAGAGACTCATGTCCTGAAAGAGATGAGACAAGTGACTTCAGGCATCACTCACCACAGGATCCTAATTGCTCTCCCCAATTCTGGGTGAAAGGAAAACAGGGTTAGAAGCTGAAACAGTAGAAACAGTATTGGATTAAGGTTAGAAGACACAGGTCTGGTCCAAGCTCGATGTCCTACTTGCTGT